ACGCCAAAATTTCATGTAATAAGGTACTCTGTCTCCGATACATCCTCCGATCCTTTCACGATATTGCATAGCTTTCTACATCAGGCAAAGAACTGTATCATGTGCACCATTGCTTAGTTGGTTACTAACCAAGGACAATGGCCTTTTACCCCCATATGCATAATTATTTGTACATTAATTTTTATGACTTAATGGCTGTGACTAAGTTAAGAATCAATGTCTTCTTTTGTGTCTTCGTAAATAGCTAAGGTTTCTGAGAGTGGCCGGACACCTTATCTAGAAACTTGATGTCCCTTGGTAAACACATATTTTTTATGGACATTTAGACCTTTTTAGTATTTAAAATTAGGAAGCCTGAGTTTTGTGGCTCATTTTTGTCAACTTAAGTGTTCTGATTTTTGGGATTTATCAGTTTAGAGAAGGAGTAAGCCTAATCGTCCGATCTATTTACCTTGTTGAATATTGCTTACCATTAACGAAGTTTGTACCTCTTATTTTCAGTCCCAAGGAGCCAAGCCATTTAAAAAGTAACCGCGCAGAAGTGTGTACCTTTTACTGAACTTTACTTTGGTCGTTTTATTTAGTCATTGCCCTATTCCATAGCTGGAGAAAAGCTTTGTATAGCATTCTCACAGCACTTATCTCCCAGATTTATGAAACATGTTCCCAGTTAATGGAAGTTCAATATATATCTTTCCAATGATCATTAAAATGAAACCTGTATTTGACTTGATTTTGCTAAATGCACGTTTCATTTATGGAATAAGTAAAACATACCCCCAATAAGCCATATTTCAAATATAAAAAGGTGAAGCATGAACCTTGATATTTGATTGATTTGTGACAATTTGATCTGATCAACCCAAAATATATACTGATATATATAACTGTAGGAAGCTTTTTAGGTTCTGGAACATTTTAACTATTTCTGAGGTAAGTATGAAATAAGATCAATATAATACATTTTTTATGAACTCCTTGTCTAGAAGAATTAATATTAAAAGTGTGCTTTCCTGCATCATGCATGGAATCAGATCATGTGCATCATTCTTTAGTTGGTTACTAGCCAAGGGCAACCCCCGTCTGTACCCCCATGTACCTTCAAATCATTCTTTGTACATTCTATGACTTTAGGAATGCAAGTAAGTTAATAATGAGTTTTTTGGCACACTTTGCCTCCATGCTTGTCCTTGAGGTCGACATTTTTAGTTATTAAGTAATTAAGATAATTGGCCTGGAATCTATTTACCCAGGAAAATGAAAGTGGAGCCTGATCTCAGCTTATTTCAAAGTGTTTAAGGCATTTTAAGTGATGCCAAAACTCGTGACACAGCTCCTTTAAATGCTGTTTTTAAAAACGTTTGATTGCTTTACAAACAAATGCCTTCCAACTATTATAAGCAACAATAAAATAAAAGGAGAGCGGCTCAGGAACAAGTTTCTAGAGAGTGAACTAGGGTGGAAGTAGAAGGCTCAGAAGACAAGGAAGTCTTGAAGGTGCAAACAAAAGAAGTAGAATCTTTCAAGTAAGTCCTTCCTTTAAAATAAAGCTTGTAAGATAAATTATTGATTGGTTGTGGTGAAGTACCTCTCAACTCTTCGCCCTCAATGAGCAACCATTGATGAGGTAGTTAATGCTGTGAAAATTTTTTGCAAATTTCATTTTGACAAAGGTTTTCAGACTGTGGCAACTCTATTGTTGTCTTTCAAAATTGGTCATTCCCCAAAAAAATATTTAAATATACTTCTGGGTCAGGCCTCGTGTGGAAATTTAGAGTAAGATCAATGATGACATTACAAGGACAGTGACCCTGTGCTGCAGTACACTGGGTGACTGAGTGTGACTATTGCACAATTGAGGGAATATTGGTGAACTGTAACAAGTTGGCAAGGGACAACAGTGTGACAACACACCGTTGCATAAACAAATACAAAACATGACAATGTTTTTTCGACAGTTAAATGTATGCTTTGAGAACCACTGCAGATAAGGCTCTCAACCTAGGCAGTTTGAAGATGTACAATGTATGTGCTCAAGTAGTGTAAAGTGCAAAAGTATGTGAAGATATCCCTTTGAGAAATTCTCCATTCACAAGTTATAACCCAATTATTGTCGTCTCCAACCTTGACAATGTTCAGAACTTAGAAAAGTGGAAGGAGGAGCAGGTAAGAAGTAACAAGATTGATACCCTTAAAGAAATGAAGAGGAGGGGAGACCGTGAATCTCCATATGCAGTTCAAAGAAGTTTAACAAATTAGAGCTGTTACCACTGGTGGAAGATCTCTAAAAGCTCAAGAAAAGTGTCCTTTAAAAGATCTCTAATAGCGCAGAAGTCCTTGAAAAGGGTCCCCAGCTGGAAGCCTAAAGTGAACTGGCCCAGGCTATACTCTCACCAGGGTAGTCAAGTTCAATGAAAGAAGAGGAGGGGAGGCCTCAAAAGTGCTGGTTGAGGGCTATCTTAACCCACCAAACTGGTCAAAAGTCAATAATCCTGAAATGTTTTCCTCTCTAAGTGGTTTTGAAAAGGCATTATCCAAAATGCAAGTAAAAGCTTGCTGTTGGGTTTTGTATTTTATTTTACAGTTGGTGAACTTCTTCACTTTCTTCACTGATAAAATAGTTACCCCTTCTGTGTGATTTTAAAGGCTGAATAATTGCATTTGTGAATGACACAAAAAGCAGTTATCTAAGAGGTACATCTACATAGGTTATTGATAATTTAAATTTTCCATTTATTCTTTAACCCCTTGATTTGTTTTCACCATTATTACCACTAAATATGTATTCTTATTTGTGACTTTTGTATCTCAGTGCATCCGTTTATAACAGCTTTTTCTGATGGGGTTATCCAGGTGAAATTAAACATCTTGTCGTTTAAATATGTTGTTTGCATAATTCATAATGGCATTATACTTCATTCAATATTTTATTTTCCAATTCATCTAATAATTATCACTACTGCAGGTTTTTAAATCTATCTAGCTTTTGTATAAGGCACTAAAACATGCATTTACATGATTCAAATGTAAATAAATTTAGGCCAGCTTAAATGAACTCATGCAACCAACCATTTTGCCCATTTTGCTTGTTATCGCTAGGGCAGCCTGAGATTTGCAAGGAGCGATGACATAGACACAGTAAATGACACTTTCCACCTTAACCTTTAAGCACACAATGCAGGTACATGTACATGATCCCTTTTTGTTCAAACAAATTCTCACAGTCAACTCAGAATCGTGACCTATGCCACTGTATAAGGCCTATCCAAACCCCTAAATCTCTCCACTGCAGTATTCCGTTAAGCAAATAAAAACAAACAAATAAACAACAATAATCCATACTATTCCTTAATTCAAGTTTCAGAAAAGTGCACAGACCCACAGGTAGGAAACAATACTTTGCCATGCGTTCTCACGAATTGCCCATTTTCCTCTTGGCCACTGCTCAAGCTCTAAAAGCTGCTTGAAAAGTAAAATAGTCTCCTGTCTTTTACCTAACCTCAACTGTGCTGCTGAAAAAACTATAACAACACATCTGGAATGGCACCAATGCTTGCACTTCGGGCCATTTCACAACCATTATCCCATTTTCAAAATAATCACGCAAGTTATTCACGCAGACAAAAATTTCATAGAGAATTCCACCAAAAATAGACATGGTTCGGCTTGGTTGTGTTTCAAGAATCATTAATTTCTCCTTTTCTTTTTCAAATTGATCATCTTTTAAGATTACTTTCTTTGGGATTCATAAGAAAACAGGAAAACCAGAGCAACAATGCAGAATGATTGAAAATGCCTATGATTTGCAACAACAGAGAATGCACCATAAAATTTATCAGACAGATTAACAGGACGTGAATCATACACTAAACTTGTATATGTAATCATTATTTTTGTTGGTAAACAAGTTCAACATGATACCTCATCCACACTGGGACAGCCTGTAAGTACACACAAACTGTCCCTTTTTTCTGGCGACCAACATTTTATGTCTGGCAACCATTTTATAATTTAGGTTGCCAAAAGGCGACTTTGAAGAAAGGTTGAGCTTAGAGCACTGCAAGCTGTATTTGGGATCAAACCACAGAGAAAAATTGTAGAAACTAGAGAACAGCAGTCAAAGAAGAGGACGAGGAAAATAAAAATGATCACAGCACTTAAACAACAGAAGAGGCAGGAGACATGGAAACACCGCGGAAAAACCATAAAATCTTAGAAAACCAGAAGAAATACAACATAGACATGATTTAGCAAGCAATTACAATAACCTGAAATAACCTCAACGCTAACCAATGAAAGTGAGTGCTTTACCCTAATCAGTAAAATGAGTCGAACTACTTGCAAAATAAGACATCATGTCTTTACCACATTCGAAGCATGTATACGAACTGTAAAATGTAAAAATAAAAATGGTCTAGAAGTTTTAAAATCCTCAAAATATATTTCGCTCTTTGAGCCTCATCAGTCAATAAAATTTTCATGTAAGATGCATTAAAGTAGTCTGCGTGTTTGCCAGTGTCATGTAAGCCAACATGGTGAATTTGATTTCATGTGGTCATGTGCGACTACCGCGCGTGGAACGCGGAAATAATTCCATTCATTCTTAGAGTTCATCAACGAGCCTTCCGGTACTTGATCTATTCGAACACCCTCTGATATCTGCCTCAACATGGCATCGTTGGAGTAAGAACCGGTAACGTTCATTTCAAATTTCCGCATTTCACTGTTGCGTTTCTCTTTACAGTGCTTCCATAAGGCTGACCTCTCTTCCTTCTTGGCCAGTAACTTCATGTGTTCTTTTCCTCTAGTATACACGCTCCTTGATGTTTCTCCAATATAAATGTCATTACACTCAGCATATTTTATGTCATAAGTCACGCTCTGTCTCTCACACGTTCTTTTTCCATCTTCTCTACACACTGGGCAATCCCTCTTTCACATTTTCGTGATTTAAACAGATCAGACCTCTGGAGTAACTTTTTAATCGCAGCACCAGCTTTTTATACGACTTTGATTTTGAAACCTTGTTTCATTATTTCTTTCTGGTATCTCCTCTGTAGCTGTGAATTCGGCATAGATGGTACAAAGATTACCACCTCGTTTCTGCCTTTCTTGTACCAGTTGCTTCTCTTCCTCACTTTTTCTTGGTCTCGTTCCTCTCTCTTCAATTCTCTGGGTTGATGTAACGGTCTTTCTCCTTCTTGATAGGCTTTCTTACTCGTATCATATGCCTTAAGGGCCGTGTTGACAACCTCACACCTGAATTTCTCGCTGTATCCCGAGTACTGCATTCTCAAAACCATCTCTTTAACATTCTCCACCACCCTCTCCCATGGTAACAGTTTGCTACAATTAAGTAGAACTCTTAGGACATCATGAGTCAGCACTGTCCTCTTAGTACTCCAGCTTAAAGCGGATCTAGCGTTAATGACAGGTTTAGAGACCATCTCTTTGGAGTACAACTTGTACATGATCACTGACATGTTAACAACTTGATTTTCTATTTCCTTTTCTCTCGTTTCTAACCACACCTTTAAGTCTAGGATAGGTAGCTTTTGGTCTCGGTGATTAGATGGATAATCCACTTCAAGTTGTATCGACGAGTGGATGTCGTCTCCTATCAATAGCATTGTCCTTGGTCACTGCTGACCCTCTCATCCTCAGTACCAAAACTTTCATCCACGCAGGTTACCGGTTCTTACTCCAACAACGCCATGTTAAGGTAGATATCAGAGGGTGTTCAGATAGATCAAGTACTGGAAGGTTCGTTGATGAACTCTAAGAATGAACGGAATTATTTCCGCGTTCCATGCGTGGTAGTCGCACATGACCACGTGAAATAGAATACACCATGTTGGCTTACATGACACTGGCGAACATGCAGACTATTTTAGTGCATCTTACATGACAATTTTATTGACTGACGAGGCTCGAAGAGCGAAATATATTTCGAGGATTTTAGAACTTCTAAAACATATTTAGTTTTACAAATGTAAAGCATGTGCACGTAGTTTACACCATTTCTACACTACAGAATAAAACGTTCATCAAGTTCAATAAGCTTTTGTAAGGATCAGAGTCGTCAATGTTAAAGAGTTTTCATTTTACTCACAATTGGGTAAACGGCAAAATGTGTGCTTAACCCCAAACCCTAACCTTAAATACCGGTATATGTAAACTAAGACTACTTCTTAAAAAAAATATAATAAGACCAGTTTAATAAATTTTATACTGGATCAATAATTTTGTACCAGTTCAAAAATAACTGTACTAGTACAAAGACAATTTGTACCATGAGCAAAATCGAATTACAACATATGTACATTTGAGCAATTGTTGTTCTGAGTGAGTTTTGATTTCATTGAGCTTAAGTTAAGTACTTTTCATTAATAACTTTTTAAAAGAGACTGATGCGGTTTTCACTGTATTAAAAATGAACTTATCCAATAAATTGCAGTGATACCAAAATCTGTACTGTATCTTTTTTAATTCACTGGATATTCTAATTCCAAGGTTTAATTCCTGTGAATTCCATGGAACTCCCTGGAGATCCATGGAATTTGATGGAGTAGTTTCCATGGAATTCACATGGAACTTTTTCGTGGAATTCCATGGAATTTGATGTCCGAATCCTCCATGGAAATCGATGGAGAACTTTCCATAGAATTCTATGGAACTTTTCCATGCAATTACATGGAAATTGAAGTCCCAATCCTCCATAAAATTCAATGAAGGTATTTTACATGGGTAGCCAGATGGCTCAGATGATGATCTTCTACTGCCCTGCTTTAGTCCCCTGACCAATAGGCCATTTGCACTAAGAGGTCATGTGACATCATTTTTATGAAAATGAGATTTATATGATTTTGCCTTCGAAAAACGATTAGTGGGTCATATCTTAAACAAAATAATAGTGATTTGGTTTCTCGAACCCGCACCATTTTCATAAAATGAGTAAGTTCGTAGCTGGTCATGTGACCAAAATGTGATTTTTAAAATTATGAATTACCTCTTTCTGAACACAAATTTTGCACTTAAACTTGAAGGAAAATGTTGAAAGATGACGTGGTAACGTTTACAGCACATCTGAGCATAAGTATCAAATGTTTAACAAGATATAAGCAAAAAGTAGTTTTGGCCACCATGTTGGAAGGCAAGAGTATGCCCTCCAACATGGCAGCGAATACAAATGATACTACTTTGTTGAAAAATCAAAGTGCCAGAAAATATCTCCCTTAAAATTAATGCGTTTTCTCTCAAATTTCAGGTGTAAAGTAATTTATATGTGCTCTGTCAATTTTTGGCATCAGCAAGATTCCAACTCATTGTTTAATTAAAGGAAGCATTGGTCATGTGACCTCGTAGTGCAAGTAGCCTATTTTACATGAACTCTTATATCTTGCATACGTACTGTATATGTCAGAGGGAAAATTGTGCCAGAAGAAAACCAACATGTCCATGGGCACCCTGAGTAATAACATAAATGAACTCACCTCTAGGCCAATGCCATTTTATCTGAGGTCTTTGCCTTTTTCATTCAAGTGAGTTGCTTCCCAGCTTTAATTGTGCATCATGTCCTCTCAGCCCTCTAAATTATCATAGAAAAATCCTTTGACTTCATGATTTAACTGTAAAAGCAAAGAAAAACAAATAACAAGCACTACTGAGATTATTGCAAGATATCACTCATAATTTTAGCCTTGAATACACCTCTACAGTACTGTAGCATCTACATGTAATCTCCATAAAATGCTATTCAGCATCTTGACCAGATTGTTCAAAGCTGGGTTAAGATACATGTAACCCACAGTTAGTGTGTGACTTGAATTCAGATATGAAAGCTTAAAATAAATTCAGTTTAATTTGTTTGTTTGTTAGCAATTTCATTATTGGATGCTTCGAAAGGAATAGAAAAAAAGAAACTGGGCAGCCCTAAGTACATGTAATCGGTAGTCAGGCTTCACACCACAACTTACCCTTTGTTAACTTTATCCTTGGTATTTATTTTGACTTTGCTGAGTTGGTCAAGGAAATAATTCTGCAAAACTGAGATAACAGGAGAATTGGTCTGATCAGGCATGGAGTTACATTTGACAATGGGTGGAGAAAGCCTAACTATGACTACCGGTATATTCCCTTGTTTGGGGTATAGTAGGCTGTAGTACACACATACAGTCAACTCTCGCCTTGCGGACACCCCGCTATAACGGACACCCCGATAATACAGACAGCAGCTAAATCCCCGGCAAAAACATGTTACAGAGGTTTGACTGAAATAAACTTCCGCTATTACGGACTCTCGCTAATGAGGACACCACCTCGAGGTCCCTACAGTGTCTGCTATAAAGGGAGTTAACTGTAGGTGGAATTGAACCAAAAACAAAATGAAGAAAAATGTGACCTTCAACCAACAAATGAGGGAACCTCCCTTGGTAATTACAAAAGAAACCACTGTGCATGCCTCCAGCTATTAATAGACCCACAGACAGTAAACCCTCTAATAGCCTTAAAGAAGCAATGGATTACTAATCTAAGGATGTGTTCCACTGGGATGATCTGGATCAGGGTCATTGATCAGAGATCACTTGAATCATAGCGCATCAAATAAACCCATGAATCCACCCTGGGCAAGGACATGTAAATGGACAATGGACAATGTTCATTCATTCCACAGCTCCAACATCAAAACAGCATTTAGGCGGTGTAAAAACGCAAGACGGCGCTCCATTATTATGCACCAGTCATTTGAAACCCCCGGACCCCCCCCCTCGGGGATGACCGGGGTATTGCGGGGACATTCACTTCATGTTCACCAAATATTGGTTCCCCGGTAGTCGGGGGATACGCTAAAAGTCACGGTCTTTGCCTCCCGGACCGGGGGATAAGCGGGGCAGTCACTTTATGGTCAGCGGTTTTCATTTTCGCGCCGCATACTAATTCCGCATGATTCCGCATACATTTTCATCGCTTCGTACCGTGACGATGTTTTGCAAAGTTAAATATCGAGGCGTAAAAAAAGCGGTCATAGCCGATGACTTGAAGAGTTTGGTGAACAAAGGTAGGCATATTTTCACTGATATTATGTAGATTTGTAATTATAATATGCTTTAAAATGCATCTAATGCACCGATACCATCTTATTCGCGAATTCTTCATAAACACTTGACCTGGCTTGACCTATCGACAGCTAGAAACGACACTTAAAGCTTAAACTATGCATTTTTTTGCGCTCTTTGGCTTGATATCAAAGTGAGCATAACTTTTCTATAACTTCCCTTCTGTTTGGATTTCGATACATTGACCAAAAAGCTATGAAAAGGGGTTTATGAAAAGTTTTTATATTCCGATCACGCATGCTTTCAGTCACGTGCCAGATCAGCCAACGCGAAATTCGATCCATACAACTTCGTGCTTCCTACGCATTCTTTTATAGGGCTTTTTGCATTTGGTTGGTAAAATTCGATAGGTATAATTTATAATTTTGTGATCTTGCTTTTTGTGACATCAAGATGTAAAATAGAAAGATGACGCTGAAATCTTTAAATACTTGTCTTTTCTTGTCTATCGAGGGGTTGCAAGTGTTGCCATTGCTGCTGCGAAAGCAAGTTGTTAATTTCACGGCTGTCATCCTATATGTCATCTCTTGCTACTAGTTGACGTTTGAAAGGGAGTACCTTGTATGTTGGACATATGGGGGCGGGGGAGTTCACCATTCACTTTTGCCCCAGGGACCGGGGAGTTCACTGGCTCTCACATGCATAAAAAGTGAATGCCCCGCTNCGGAGACAAAAAGAGCGGGGAGGGGGGGGGGGCGGGGGGGGGCGGCTTTTTTTGTTGGGACGACCCCCGCGCCGGGGGGGAGGGGGCGGGGGGGGGGGGGGAAGAAAAGGTTAAAAGGGGGCGGAGGGGCCGGGGGGGGGGGGGGGGGGGGGGGGAAGGGGGGGGGGGGGGGGGGGGGTTCTCCATCATCTGTCGCGGTCACATCGGATGGAAATTTATTTCCCATTTTAAGAAAAACAATTTGGCAAAAGAAGTCCACTATGAATCACAATTCAAGAGCGAAAGAGTCTATTTCACGCGGAAAAAAAAGGCTGAAAGCCCAAATACCCTTTACCACGCACTGGCACTTCGCCATGTTCGCATTAATAAATTGTTCTAGTTGAATAGAGTTGTCAGTTAACGAGACCAAAATGACTCGTCTTTGAGCTAGGATCGGATCTGTTCTAGAGTTCATTAGCTTATGATAAAAAAAAAATTATTCTTTAACCCAAAAAAGATACAGGAATTTTTTTTAAAAGGGGGCACGTAAAATTTCGCGCATCCACTGAAAGTTCCCCAAAATATTCAAGGTGTGGGGCGACCTCATGAAATTTTCTCCGTTAATTTTCAGGTGCTTACAGCAACTGTACAGCTTGCGAAAGGTTTTTGTCACTAAACTAAAATTTAATGGTGAATTATATCCCCATTTTATTTTTGTTTCTTTCTTTATTTTTTCTATCCCTCTTCCTGCCTTGAAGGATCAGTTTACCGTTTAATTATCATTTTAAAATTTGGTAACGAAGATTTTACTGATCCAGGTCTACTAAAGAGCCAGCTGGCCCTTCCTATTTTGTCGCTGTGGTTTTGCTCGTCACAAATGTCATTAAACAACAACTTGCATTTTCTGAAAAAAAGTGCTAAAGCGGAACACCTAAAGTACACAATTTTTAAACACAAAACACAATAGCCTATGAAAAAAAAATATCTGACCGGCCTTTTTCATCTTAAAGAACTGGAACGGCTTCTTTTTTCCCCAGTTTAATAACAGCCGAGGTAATAACACAGTCAGCGATTTGCGGTGCTTAAATCATGCTTTCAGCCTCCAATTTTAGCCTTACACTGAATCTTCGAAGACCACTCCCAAGTCATGAATGCCCAAGCCACCTTCTATACTGGTCAGTTCAGTAGCCTGTGTAGGCTGAAGCACTGTCTACAAAAATTGACTATGCGCGATGCATCATCATCTAGCAAATAAAACCTACAAAGAAAACCAAGTATAGCTTACCTGTTAAGAAACATAATTTTAGATGATCTTTGTCAGTCTTTGCTATCTTTGTTGTTCTTTCTTTCACAACTCAGGTTGAATTTTTAATTTGATTTTAAAACTGCAACTGTTCTTCGGCGGCACGAAAAATGTTCAAATCCTTCTTACCAAGTCTCAAGGGAATAAACCACGAAAGAGTACGATACAGTGTGGCTTGCTCGACTTCTAACACGATATCAGAAGGTCTAAATGAATATTTTAAAATCAAAAAGCTTCATTTGTTTGCTTTTAGCCGGAATGCCTGCTTTCATCAAAGACCATTAAAGCACTTCTGGCTGAAAAGAAATCATTCGCAGTTTGACAGGGTTGACACATCATCTTCCGCTTGAAGCTTAAAAAGCACATTTCTCCTCTATGAAAAGTCTTTTATCAGGTGTAAAATGCAAATTTTGCTTTTAGTGTTTGGCAGGGTGGGGACAGCTTGTCTCAAAGCTTGACAGTTATTTTTCCTACCCTGAAGAGAATACTATCTCTTCCAGAGTCATCAGTTTACTATGAAACAGAGAGGAACAGTTTGAAGAAGTCGCTCGCTTACTCGATTTCTTTCGAATTTCTTCGTTCTACTGAATTTTTATAAATTGTTTGTTTCTTTTTTTTTTTTTGAAAACAAAAATCTTTTTAATAGAGGCAACTTTTGTAATTTTTTATTTTCTTTTTTAATACATGCATTTATAAGTTGTAAATCGTAGATATACTCATTAGCACTTTATTTGCTTTAGTTTATACTTATACAAGTTTAATTTACGTGTGCATTTAGTTTGGTATAGGATTTCATGGCTTAAACCAATTATGTGGAATAAGAGATGGAATTGCAGCCGAATGATAAATAGTTACGACTAAAGCCATCCCCGTAAAATGTGTCGTTTCCCATCGCCCTCCCTCTCGTGAAGGTGGGTAGGTCGGTCGGGCAAAAAAAAAAAAAGAATGAACACATGATTGCATATTAAATCTCACCTTTAGTCTGCATGATATAATCAGATGGTAAAAGATGTATATCAACAGGACTATCAAATGTCTAAAAAGGCTACAAAAACGAAGTATCGATAATAATTTAATTAAGACAACTGGTGTTAATAAGACAAGATCGTGTGCTTGTAAATTAAAGTACTTGCTTCTTTACACGTGATTCTGGAATTATTTTTTTTTTTACTTTTCCAAAAATATGGGTCGGTCGGACGATGGGAAACGAAACATTTTATGGGAATGGCCTAATAGATATTAGGAGCAACAACAACAACAACAACAACAATAAGCTTTATTTGCATGACCATAACAAAGTATTACAGTATTGCAAAAGCTACTTGAAACTACTTATTGATTCCTTGTAAATTAAATATTTAAAATAATTTGAAAGTTATTAATCATTGTTTATTTCTAACCATCATGTAGGATTAATTATTCCGGAGATAAGTTTGTCTCTCAATTCAAAGCAAGTTGATATAAATGAAATTAATTGGATGTTAATAAAATAGTCAGGAGAATTCATCAGATGTGATAATAAGGACTCATGTGATTGTAGTCGCAGAAACGATATTTTAGGATCTAGTTTAGAGAAGAACCTATCTCTTATGGAAGAAAAACTTGGACAATCTAATAAAATGTGAGTTTCATCTTCAATTCTGTTACAATTGCAGAGATTGCATAACCTTTCGTCACGTGGTAGATTGTCGTATCTACCTGTCTCAATCCTAAGTTTGTGACTGCTTATTCTCAGTTTCACTAATGTTTTCCTAGAAGGGTTCTTTCTTGTTAAATCTAGGTAGACAGAAGGGCTATAATTCGTTTTGATTTTATAATAAAAGTTAAGTTTTTGTGAATGTTGAAGGGTATGATTCCAGTAAGTGATATATTTCTTTTGCATAAGATC